ATGGATAAGCTTTTTTTCTATATCGCCCAGCCCTAATTTCCAGACAAAAAGTAAATGGTGCATCTCCCAAATTTCCCGGCCACAACAACGCTTTATTGGTTCCGCTATCGGGACGGAACCAATAATGGCGAGCCGTTATTTTTTTTAAATAAAAATTTTTTTTGTCAATTTTTATGTTTTATTAAGATTACAAAAATAAATCGTAATAAAAATGATCCTATTTATGATGTTTTAAAAATTAAGACCTAGGAAAGACTGATTTAAGATATTTTAATACCAATTAAGGCCTTCGTTTTATTTTGAAGAATTCAATGCCTTTTAAGACTTTTTAAGGACCCGCGGGAACCCGATTTAACCCATCCCCTTGGGGAGCAGTGGGCTGCCATTGTGCGGCGCCTGGGGAACAAGGTGGGGGGAAGGGTATTGCTCAGGGATCCAGAGTGGCAGTCTGTTGGAGTGGGATTCAAAATCAAAACCTCAGGATTCCAAGCTGTATGCCCTAACCACCTGGCTGCCACTGCCTTAGACTCTAGTGATCCGCTACGCAGAGATACGCTGCGGAGAACTCTGGGCTGATCTTCAGGGGGAATTGGGTGACAAACAGACCCCAGCTTAGCATTCCACCGTTAGCAGCAGAAGAGAGACCAGCCTCTCTCAAGAAGCTGGGTTTCAGAGCCCAGGCTATGCAGCGCCACTATTTCTACATTACAAGACTTAGCATCTAATTAGAACCGACTTTAATCCATTGCATCAGTACCCAGGATAAAAATATCATGAGAGAAGGTCTCTAGTCGCTGTGACATACTGACCTGGTAGTGCAGTAGTGCACGTGAGCTCACTGGGCAGCTGGAACTGTGTGGGATTTCTCTCCATGGCTGCAGCAATAAGGAGCTGAAAGGGTCTCTTGAGCAGACGCGGTGGCGGCACAGACAGCGTCGCACCATCAGGTTCAACTGCCTGGACATCATCCTCAGGTTCAGCTGCCTCCTCCTCTCCATCGTTTTGCTCCTCTGATGGGGTCGGGGTGGATGAAGTGTTGGATGTCGGTGTCCCGGGACGACTGCTCGGCCTGCTGCTTGTCCTGCGTTCCAGGAGACGAACTTGAGCCACTCGTAAACCTGGACCGGCAGCCCCTGCCCCTGGAGGCAGGCCGTCAAGTCTCAACGGACCGGTGTTCAGCTCAAGTTCTCCCATCGGAGAAGTGGAACGCTTAGTTGAAGATCGTTCTGGGAAGCCATTTGTTTGCTCAGGCTTCTGCTCCCTCTTCTGGTGGCAACAAGAACAACAAAAGGAAGAGAACCGTTTCAGATGCTATCAACCACCACTATAATGAGCATCTTACAGGTAGGGTTTTAAACAAAGTGGAAGAAACTATTCATATTCAGTACAGGATAAAGAACAAAACAAATGTTTTTTTTTTTATGGCAAGATTTAAGGACAAATAGTTTATCCATGTGGCCAAACGTGATATTGATATTCAGTCACTCATCACACCAAACTTTCTGTTGCCAATTACATATTTCACATACGCAGTAAATAGTGTTTCAATTTCTTGTGGATTTCTAACACAAGGTATGACAGGGTTTATACAGGAATTATTAACTCTAATTCTTTTAATGCTCCTTTAGTGTATATATATATATATATATATATATATAGACTGCAAAATCCTTCGTCATCTTTACTGTCGACAGGCTGCAGCAATTTCCCAAACTCCTCGTTTTCTAGCCACTTGTGCTGAAATTTGCATTTTCCCATTCTCTAGCGTCTTCTCTGTCTTGAGCTTCTTCACCGAACATACGGCTTTATGATCAACCAGTAGCAGTTCTGCACAAATATACTGCAATTTAATATATCTGACGAAATTGTTTTTATAACCATATTCTTTTAATAGTTTAAGAATTGTAAATGCCACAATAATCACATTTAACTAATTTTAATGCCATTTAAGGCCTTAATTTAAAAAATAA